TACACTCGCCATACGAAACACAGCAGCGTGGAGCCGCTATATTATGCTGGTATTCTGTGACAATACCCACGTACAACAGCGTAATAGTGTAAGTTTACGGGACGATTAAGATGAAGCCATAAAAACATGCAAGGAAAAAGCTCTGGCAGCTCAGGTGCTACAAAACATGTGTGGTGCCATAAAACATCACAGTTTCGCTCGCGTACTGCACTGTAAAATCGTAGAATTACAATTTCAACGCTACCTAGCCATCAAATTGACGATTCTTTTCTGCCGACTTCCAAAAAGGACACGGTACTCAATTCGACTGTATTTTTTTTATGTGTGTTACCTCATAACTGCTTACTGAGTGAACCAATTTCGATGATTCTTTTTTTATATGAAAGCTGATACTTCTCGTGTGGTCCCATATGAATTTGATCAAGGTCAGACCATTAGTTTTTGAGTTATTCTTAATAACTTATATTGAAGTCGGCTGTACAAAATTTTTAATTTTAAATTATTTACACTAACATTATCTCTGGTTGGGTTGGAATCCCAAGTGCGTTTTGACCAGCAGTGCTATTGTGGAAACAAGGTGGGAATCATGGTTAGCGCAGTTTTAATGTTCAACATTTGATTTCGTTATATTGTGTAAATGTATCAGTATAGATTATAAGCCGACGTCAGTCTTTTTCATGCATATATAGGTAATTTATAGACTATGGATGACAAGTCCACCTGATAGTAAGTGGATGATGTGACCAAAGACCCTATTAAGTATCAACATCTCTATTAATTTTACAGTCTTAGATTTCCCTTTGCTCTTTGAACCAAAAGCATTTAGTGGCAAGTCATTCTTCGAATCTGTTTGTCTATCACCAAAAGCATCAATCAACAAGTCATCTGCTTTTTCAGCAGTCTCTAGAATGAAACAGATTCCGACACAATATATAAAATAAAAACTGTTTCTTAACTGTCATTTTTTCCAAGCGACTCGATCATTACAGTCCATCACACAGCTTATGGGGCTGAGCCACGCACTTCATTAAAATACTGCGTGTTTCATAAGCGAAGTGTAATAAGCTGATGTGGCAATGGGCCGGGCATATAGCTTGAAGAACTGACAATCAATGGAGGAGAAATGTTCTCGAGTGGCAGCCCGTACTGGTAGACGAAGTGTAGGGCTGCCCCCTACTAGATGAAGTGACGACCAGGTACGACATGCAGGAAGTCGATGGATGCAGGTGGCTCAGACCCAGAGCATCCCTTGGGGGAAGCCTATGTTCAACAGTGGACTTGTGAAGGGCTGTCATGATGATGATGATGATTCATTCACCGCATTTAGTGAGTTTTCTGCCACTTTGTTTTTAGTAGGTAAGACAAGGATGGCTTAAACAACTTTTCTTCGTATATTTTTCTTAGTATGAAGTGACAAACAAACTCACACTCCTCCTTATGTACCCAGTCACCATTAGGTGGATCGGCACCTGTGGGTACTGCAGTCCATGGACTGCCTTTTTCTCTTACATGGGAAAACGCCTCAGCTTCTCCACCTCGCGGGGGCAAAGACGGGTTATAATCGGACTCGCATGGATTAAGCCCCATGGTGTTCAAACGCCACATATATGCAGGGACCCAACAGCACCGGCTGCCCCATGGCAGCCCCTTCTCAGGGAGGACTTCTCCTCACCCTTTTCCTTCTCTGGTAAGGCGCAACAGCAACACACGGCGCGCCTTCTTTCACGGCCTCAACTCCACCTGCGCGACGGACCTCACCGAGCCTAATACGCAGAGGCCATAGGGCCAGGAAAAAACGAGCACTCGGAAGCACCCCCTTTCTTGCATAAAAGGTTACTGGAGGAGGGAGGAGTCTATGTGGGTACATACACCTAGAACTACTCCTAGACAAAAATGGAGTCTCACCACCGAGTAATTGAACACTAAGAACACACTAAGAAATTGGCAAAGATTCATTCAAATGGCTGCTTTCTAGTTGTAAGTATATCATTAATTCCTATGCAATTAATACATCTTATTCACATACATAATGGCTACATTTTATACAGGGTCAAAATATTTTTTAAATATATTAATTCATAAATAAAAAAAAGTCTAAAGAAGCTCATTACGATGTTCATATATGCTTATCATTAAAGTAATTATTTAACTTGTAATATTCTTTCTCCATAAGAGAGCTTTTTACACAGACTTAGAATCAGGCAAAGGCAAATCAGTACATTGCACATGAAGCCCTCTTTATTTTACCAATGTACCGTGTAACCACTTGCCATTAGGTAAGACGTACCTTATTTTAATAATATATCACAGAACGTACAATTTTTTCCACCTTATGTCACCTAATCTAATAGTGCGCAAAAGGTGCCTTTATGGATCAAATTAATTCATGCAAAATATTATTTAGATTGATACAGAGTACCTGCCCCCGTCAGGTCATAGAATTTTTAAAAAAGATGATAGATGATTTTCGAATCAGGATTGACTCTATGTACATCAGGGATGGAAAAAATCATGATTTTTTATTTTAATCAAATGATGCTGATTTGTTTTTAAATAATGATTTTTTTTTATATTTGGAAATTCACGAGTTGGTAACACTTTTTGACATAGTAGGATTAAAAGTTTATGAATACATATGTATGAGACTGATTAAGAGTAAAATAATGAATACTGTATTAATTACAGTTCATATCATATGGCAGAAGAAGCATGAGAGTAGAATAAATGCTGTAGAAATGTGGTCATGAAGGAGTATGTTAGGGATGAAGCTGAATGACAGAGTGAGAAATTGTTTAATAAGAGAAGAGTGTGGTTTGCAAGATGATGTTGTGACCAGGATTAAGAAAGGAATGCTTCGGTGGTTTGGCCATGTAGAAAGAATGAATGTGGAAAGAGTGACAAAGCAAATCTATGTTGCAGAGGTGAACGGTATAGTCGGGAAGGGTCGCCCTAGGCGAAAGTTTATCGACCAAATTGGCGATATATTAAAAATGGGCCATATCAAGAGTACCTTTAACCGACGAGCGTGTATGCGTAGATATATGGATGTGGAGGAAGCGAGAGAGGTGTGTCAGGATCGTGCCAAATGGAAGTCCATAATCTCTGCCTACCCCTCTGGGTGACAGGCGTGAGTGTTTATGTATGTATATGTATGTATCTTAAGGGTGAATTTCTAAACAAAATTTTTGGTTGATTTTACTAAGTTTATGAGACAAACAGACCTCATTGCTACGTCTTTGTTGATTTTCCAAAGTATATGAGACTATTGTAGTAGAATAATAAGAATAACATAAAACAATTAAAGATTTCACCTTATTTTAAGTCAGTTTTATTTCATTTTCTGCCTATTACATTAATTTATACATGTTGATTTAAATCAATGATTTTTTTAATAAAAATCAAGCGATTTAAATCGTGATTTAAATCAGTCTGATTTAAAGCAGCCAACCCTGATGTAAATATGCTATTTTATTAAATATATTGTAACATTTTGTTTTACTTTTTGATTTAAAATATAGTCTATTTTTATTATAAATCAATAAAAATCAAGTTTTCATGTAAAGTTACATCAAATTAAGGTTAAATGCGCACGCGGTAAGTAATTTCATCGTGTCACTGCTAGCATGCTATTTCTTGTCAATGCGTAAGGACACGCTTTTATCTATTTCACAATATTTGTTAGTTGTCTGAAGCATGGAGAGAACTCGTAGTGCATTCAAAGGTCCCCTTTTCGGTGATATCCGAGCTATTAAAGAGAACACTTTAGCTACGTATGAATATGTGATGAAGTACTACGAGTGGACCAGACATCAACTAAAATTGCAACTAGAAACTGCGAAAGACTACCGCTTAAAATGTAAAAATTTACTCAAGTTTATTAAGAAGCTAAATGGCCCCAGATTTGACCACAGATCAAAAGCACTTGCACGAGATCGTCTCTGCGGTACAATCAAGTTCCTTTCCAGAAGATCTAGTAAACATGTCTCCAGTTCGCATGCTCGTTGGCTCACACATGCTAATTGAATACAATGTTTGTATGTGGCAACAGCGAAACCATCAGAGAATTTGATTGCTCTGGTTACATTTGTCGTAAAAGTTTATGCCCCGGCTTGGTTCTCAATTAAGAATAAACCGTCATGTAAAGATGGGAGCTCGACATCTATTTAAAATTATATCAGCCTTCAGGTATCTGCCAGCATCCTTGAAGAAAGTGATCGACTCTATCATTCAACATATCATATCATTCGCACATCCTGAAAATTTACTACTTGCAATGATTACAGATGATAAACAGCGTATTCTTGAGTTGGCAGCCCAGTGTATATTAAAAGAACGCAGTATGTCGCAATCCCCTTCACCAAGTCTATTCGAGCTGTCTGATATTAATTTCAGCGCAGCATATATTAATATGATATCATAGATATATTGATATCATCAATTGGCAACAAACCATTACTGAACCACTGATCTTGAAACACTTAAGCAACCAAAAATTCAGCAAATAGTTTTTACGTCTCCAACGTCATACCCAGGCTGTTGAGCGAGCTGTGAAGTTGAGGACAGAAGCGGTCATTTCTCAATCTAAGGATTCATCGCGATTAGGGTCCATAAAAGCCAAATTAGAACCCCGTAAAAAAAAAATGCCTAAATTCGAGACGAAGAAAAATTTTAAAGCCAATTGACGATTTGTTTTTAAAATGTGATATTAAATTTTCACTTTTTTATTGAATTTTACATTATAAGTATTCTAAATATATTATTGAGTTTCATTTATAATCTCTAGTTAACTCTTATTTATTATTTATCTTAGACCAAACATACTAAAATTTTTCAGTAAACACTAAACTTTGAGGCCCCAGTGGAGGCAGCAAATGTTATTCAATTGAGCTGAAAAGAAAACGTGAATTGACTTTAAATATACGGCACTAATCCTGCGCTATTAGAATTTAAAATAAAAAAAATTTGCATACCTCCATGCTCCACCCTAGTATATATCTTACCTGTTTCTTGATTCCCATTTTCTTCAAATTTGGAATTCCCATTTTCGATATACTCTTCCTCAACTTTAATGATATCCAGGCTAAATATTTCGTCCTTACAATCACTTTCTATATCATCTGTCTCTACTGGCCTGATATCAATATGACATATTGGTGTGAATTGAATCTCATCTCTGGCCTGATGTGGTTTTGGTATCGGCTGAAACAAAATTAGTTTTTTGAATAAGAGAAAAGGTCAGTGAAATGGTGGTGGCGTAGGAGAATCCTTACTACCCCATACCATCTCGTAGATGTCGTGAAAAGGGACAGAGGGAAACTGAAACAGGAGGTGGGCGGCACCATCTTCCTGACAACAACTCCAAATAATAATAAAAACCGGACGCAATGATGGTTCAAAATAAACTTACAAGAATGTAGATTAAAAAAAATTGTTGAGACTCGATTCTCGGTGTGGTATACATAATAATAATATTATTATTTTTTTTTATAGGAGAGGGGGCAAACGAGCATGCGGCTCACCTGATGGTAAGTGACTACCGTCGCCCATGAACAACTGCAACGCCAGGGAGGGAATTGCAGATGCGTTGCCGGCCTTTTAAAAAGGAGTACGCTCTTTTCTTGAAGGTCCCTAAGTCGTATCGGTCCGGAAAAATCCCTGATGGTAATCAATTCCACAAGGAAGTCGTGCGAGGAAGAAAACATCTTCTAAATCGCACAGTGGTGGACCGCCAATCATCCAGATGGTGTGGATGGTATCGGGAGTTCTGCCGCGATGTGCGTTCGTGAAATTTGGCGGCTGGGATTAATCCGAACAATTCCTCAGAGCACTCCCCATGGTAGATGCGAAAGAAAATGCAAAGGGATGCAACATCCCTTCGCAGTGCCAATGAATCGAGCCGATCGGAAAGGGCTCGGTCGTCGACGATTCGAGCCGCTCTGCGCTGGATGCAGTCAAGTGGAAGGAGCTGGCACTGGGGAGCCCCTGCCCAGAGATGGGAACAGTATTCCATGTGAGGCCGAACCTGCGCCTTGTAAAGTTGCAGGCGGTGTGCCGGCATGAAATACTGTCCCGCTCTGCTGAGCACGCCAAGCTTTTTAGAGGCCAATTTGGCCTTCTCTTCCAAGTGACCACGAAACTGCACGTCACTCGATATGTCGACTCCGAGGATACCAATACTGGCTGAAGCAAGAAGGGGAGTGCCTTGAAACTGAGGAGATACGACAAAGGGGTTCTTTTTAGCGGTAAACGCGCAAACTTGTGTCTTCTGAGGATTAAACTGGACTAGATTTAGTCGCCCCCAATCCGAGACTTTGTTCAGCAAAGACTCGTCTTCAGACACAAGTTTGTGCGACGTTTTCCCGAGAAATATTGGCACGGCCGGTGTATAGAGCATCACCAGTGCTGTCATCCGCATAGCAATGAATGTTACTAGTTAGCAACATATCATTGATATGCAGAAGAAACAGCGTTGGTGATAGCACACAGCCTTGTGGAACACCAGCGTTAATAGGCTTGTAGTCAGAACATGCACCGTCTACAACAACCTTGATGCTCCGATCTGCAAGGAAGCTGGTGATCCAATTGCACAATTTCTCGGGAAGCCCATAGGAAGGGAGCTTCGAAAGAAGCGCTTTGTGCCAAACCCGATCGAAGGCCTTCGCAATGTCCAGACTAACGGCCAACGCCTCCCACTTGGACTCTACTGCCTCCGCCCATCTATGGGTCAGGTAGACCAGGAGATCACCAGCTGATCGACCCCGACGAAAACCGTATTGGCGGTCACTAATCAGCTGGTGATCCTCAAGGTACCGGATGAGCTGGCAGTTAATAATGGATTCCATTATTTTGGAGAACAAGGAGGTGATCATCGCGATAGGCCTATAGTTGGACGGGTCTGAGCGGTCGCCTTTTTTAGGGATCGGGTGGACAAAAGCTGTCTTCCATGAGTTCGGGACTACGCCTTGGGAGTAGGAGTACCGGAAAAGACGCGTTAAAACCGGTGCCAACTCCGGAGCACACGTCCTCAGCACAATTGGGGGGATTCCGTCAGGACCACTCGACTTCTGGATGTCCAGGGAGAGAAGTGCTTTGCGAACCGAGCGCTGTGAGAACAGCACATCCGGCATGGAGCACTCACACCGCGGGATGGTCGGCGGTGTTTTCCCCCCGTCATCAAGAGTCGAGTTGGACGCAAAAAGGGAGCCTAAAAGGTCAGACTTGTCTTTTGCGTCTTGGGCCAGTGAGTCGTCCTCCTTGTGCAGAGATGGTAGTGATGGCTTACAGAAATTCCCTTGGACAGCCTTGGCGAGAGACCAGAATGCACGGGTTCCCGAAGGAAGACGAACTAGTTTCTCGCCAATTCTGCCTATGTGCTCTGACTTTGCCCTGGCAATAACTCTTTTGAAGGACCTGGAGGCGAAGTTATACTTCTTTTTAAGTGTGCTGGTGTTTACATCCCGAGTCGCCGAAGCCGCAGCCCAGGCTTGATAACACTCCTGCTTACTGCGTAATGCAGTCTTACAGGAGCGACCAAACCAAGGCTGAGATCTGCCTCCGATGGGTACCACAGATGATGGAATAAATAGTTCCATTCCCTGTAGCACCACATCAGTGACAGAGTCAGCAACAGCGCTGGGATCATCCGGCGAGAAGCAAACCCGTCCCCATGGGTAGGATGCAAAGAAAGACCGCATTCCGTCCCAATCCGCCGACCTGTAATGCCAAACACGGCGGCAACCTGCAGAACGCAACCGCGAGGGGAGCGTGAGTGGCACCACACTCCGGATCAGACAATGGTCCGAAGAGCCGAGAGGGGCATCGACGGAAACCTGATATCCGTCCGGATGAGAGGTCAGCAGAAGGTCCAACAGGGAAGGTGTATGATCCTCCACATCTGGAATCCGCGTAGGCGATGTAACCAGTTGTATCAGACTATATGCCAAGGCAAAGTCATAAACAGATCTCCCCGCATGATCGGTTAAACGTGAACCGAGCCATTCGGCGTGGTGGGCATTAAAATCGCCAAGGATCGCGATATCTGCGGATGGGACCTGTTGTAGCAAGGAATCTGTAGCCATTTGGACGTGGTCGATGAGTCGGTCTGTTTCGGCATTACCGCTATGGGACCTATAGAGGCACCCGTAGACGCGCGGATGGTCGTCGCTGTCTACGCGTAGCCAAAGGATGGACAGGTCCGAACCTTCAAGACTGCCGAGGCGTCGAGAACAGATGTCCTCTCTGACATACACGCAAACTCCAGCCCGAGGCACAAAGGAGTGCTCCAATTTGTACCCCGGGTAGGAGAGATACGAAGTATCAGCCGGAGAGGACACCTGCGTCTCGGTCAGAAAGAGCAAGGCCGGCTTCGCCGTCTCAAGATGGTAGTGGACGGCGTTTAGGCCCAGTGAAGTCCCCTGATGTTGCAGAAATTCACGGATAGCGTGGCAGGGGTCGCCTTGTTCTTGTTGCTCAGTTTGCCCCGAGCAGTTATTGTGTTGTGCGGAATTTTGCCCCCCCCCCCCTCCCCACCCCAGAATACGCGGGGCAGCCTGAGCACCCACGCTCAGGATTGGAATAACATGGTCGTGGATGCTCAGCGAGGGATTCTCCAGGGGTACTGGTACCCTCCTGGGGTAGTCTATTGTGTAATTCCGCTACCATGTTGATAGGGGGGGGGGGGGGGATTGGGCCTCCGGCCACCTGCACTCACCAGACGAAACGCAGAAGCAGAGCTTCTACTTCACGCCGGTATTCTGTGAGGTCGTGGTACCAACCCGGCTCGAGTCGGCCCATACGTGCAACAGCAAAAACTGCTGCGTGGCTCTACCACCTAAAATTTTATATTTAATAAAATTAAAATATATAATTTAAGTAATTCATAAGCAACTTTAAATAATTTCATTACATATGATGTTTAAATTTAAATAATCTGTACATAAATATGAATATTATAATTACAAACAGACAGTACTACAAAAATTATTATATGTACATAGATATTAGCAGTGGCTATTGTTCTAATGCAGCAGTCGGTACGATGGCGCGATGTCACCAGCAAACCGGTTCACCGCTGGCCGCCCTTGGTCCGATCGCTTGCCTTGCCCTGGTGGCACAACCAGTAACCAGTACGCTTTCGTATGCCATACTGTTCGCCCATTTATTCGTGTTAAGACATTACTGTTATAGTTTTCGCGTTACCATCCATACCATCTGGATGATTGGCGGTCCACCACTGTGCGATTTAGAAGAAGTTTTCTCCCTTGCACAACTTCTTTGTGGAATCAATTACCACCAGCGAATTTTCCGAACCGATACGACTTAGGAACCTTCAAGAAAAGAGCTTACACCTTTCTAAAAGGCCGGCAATGCATCTGCGATTCCCCTGGTGTTGCGGTTGTTCATGGGCGGCGGTAGTCACTTACCATCAGGTGAGCCGCATGCTCGTTTGACCCCTATACTATAAAAAAGAGTTAATAAGTTCACGTAAGACTTCTTATATTTGTGCTATCTCTACAGACTTTATATTTGCTGTCAATGTGATATTTCTATGGTTATACTTTTCACTCTATTCTCTCCTTCTGTGTTGTTGTGAAAGACTTGTATATAAATTATAATTGTTCAACCTTAAAAGCTATTGATTTTTATTTTTATTTGCATAAACATTCACATAAACTAATAAATTGAACTATATCGGGATGGATGAAGCCATCCCGAGAATTGAGTCTCAACAATTTTTCGAATCAGATTCACGAAAGCCGTAAATTAAATGCCGTAAAAATCTATTTTTGTTTAGTGGGGGTAATATTTAAAAATATATAACAGTATAAACAGTTCGATAACCCTACTTCCTTCTATCCTACTAATATTATAAACGCGAAAATTTGTGAGATATATGGACGTTTGTTACTCTTTCACGCAAAAACTACTAAATGGATTCGAATGAAACTTTACAATTAAATAACTCATACATCAGAATAACACATACGTTATAATTGGTAAAGATATTGTATAAATTGGTCAAAATATAATGATAAATGTTAAATAAGTCGGATAAAAAACACAAGACGTTCGACTGAACACGCAAAAACCTGTGAACCGTATTTGTATGGTACTTTCACTGGCAGATAGCTGATGTCATAAGGAGTAACTTAAGCTGTTTTTATTTTAGGGTAGCGCGCAAAATAATTCCACGCGGGCGAAGTCGCGGGGAAGAGCTAGTTATTTCTATAAGAATAAGTATTTACCTTACTGAAATTCATAAAATATAGAACATCGCTCTAACGAATAAAACTGGCCAAGTACGTGTCGGGCCACCACAATGTAGAGGTAGGGTTCCATATTTACCCATCACAATACGTGGGCTTCCTTGATAATGAGCATAATAAGTAAGTTCTTAGTTTGTCTACTATAACATCTAAAATTGGGCCCAAATAGGAAGATCGTAACTGAAGAACTTATTTTCAAATCAGCCTTATATAGTGGTGTACAAAGAAGATTAAAACAACTTTTGGATTTTGATAATAATACCCTATCTATCCCACAAATGAAAAGGTAAAGCATTTACGTGGTAGAGCCATGCTGCAGCTATATTTATAGTATAGTTGTAGCACGAATGGGTCGGCTCGACCGGGGAAGGACCACGCTCTCACAGAATACAAGCGTAAAATAGCAGCTTAATGCTGCTGTGTTGCGTATGGTGAGTGTAGAGAACCGGAGGCCCTTTTTACTTTAAAAGAGGCATTCCATCTTAGTCCTCAAGGCTGACAATGCATCTGCATTTTGATTCGCAAACGAGGATAGATGTAGATGTCTATGGGCCACAGCAATCACTTACCATCAAGTGTACTGTGTGCTCGTTTGTCACCCTATTTCTATAAAAAAAAATAGTAATGCGTATAAGTCGTTTTCTTCACAAAATGTTTATTTTAACAGTTTACAATAACAAAAATTGATAAGGTCGTGCTTCGGTGGTTTGGGCACGTTGAGCGAATGAGTGAAGACCGAATGGTGAAGAAAATATATAGCGCGAAAGTTAATATTAAAAGGTGTCGAGGTAGACCGAGACTAACTTTCGAAGACCATGTGAGCAAATTGCTCGAAGAGGGTAGGGTCAAGAGTACTCGGATACCTAGACGTGCATGTATGAAGAAGATAATGAATCTGAAAGAAGCGAAAGAGGTATGTAAGGATCGTGACACTTGGCGATCTGTTCTCTCTGGCTACCTCGTCAGGGATTGTGCGTGAAGATAAGTAAGTACGATAACATTACAAAGTTATTAATGCAGCTAGTTTAGGTTATTTTCTATGGAGTTGTAACAAAATTTTTACTAATCCAAGGGCATTTTACAAGTTGGTCGATTATTACTTGTAAACTTCTTAATTCTACTTAGCTAAAATAGTTTCCTTTTAATATTACATTATATATACTACTATTGTGTATACTTTTCACATTTTCAAAAACAGCTGTTTAGTTGGTCATTTTAAAGCTAAATATTTCGCAAATTGAATCGAAAAGATGTTGTTCCATACTCCCAATGTTTTTGAAAGACCTATCCTACGATACCCCACATGATGGAATAGAAGGGTAAAAAAAAATCAGCCCCCATTTACTTGTATGGGAAGTACCCAAATTAAAATTTCCCTCATATGAAGCAATGTATGAGTGAGGCCTATGTTCAGCAGTGGACTTTTATAGGTTTTAATGAATGGAATAGATAATACCATGGACCCTCCTGCAAACAACTGCTCCAGAACTGCATTTGACTCGATAGCCTGTTGTTGTAATCTTCTGCAACAAATGAGTCTTGCATGACATATGAAACAGACAATTATCGGCTCCTCATTCTCATCCATCTGAAAATATGAAAGTTCATCATAAATATGGAATACTACTTAAATATATGTTTGTAATAATATCTATAGGCTACCACGATTCTCTTCATCAACATCATTTACATTGACAAATAAACTTACCATCTACCTGATGGTAAGTGGTAACTGCAGCCTATGAGCCCATGGGCATCTGCAACCAACTTAAGGCAAAGGCTACAGATGCAGTGTTACCTCTGAGGACTAAGATGTAACGCATCACAACCTATTATTATACTGGCTCTCAATGACCTTCACACTGGGACACATACTGCTGCTTGGTGCCAGAAATAGATCTTTAGATTAACAGTGGAAGAGCCACACGGCAGCTTTTGCTGTCGCACGGATGGGCCGGCTCGAAACAGGGTGGTACCACGACCTCACAGAAAACCAGCGTGAAGTAGAGGTTTACCTCTGCGTTTCGCTTAGTAAGTGCAGGTGGCCGGAGGCCCTTTTTACTGGAAATGAGGCATTCCATCTTAGTCCTCACGGGTGACAACGCATCTACATTTTAATTTATAGTAGAGGCTAGATGTAGATGTCTATGGGCCGCAGCAACCACTTACCATCAGGTGGACTGTGTGCTCATTTGTCACCCTTATCCTATAAAAAAAAAATCATCCCAGACAGACATCTAGGCAGAAAAAAGTCCTATCACCTAGTGAATCATCATCACTACAACAACACAGTTCTAAACCTTACCTTAATCTTACCTACATTAACTTCAAACTGCTATCAACACTAATAACATTACAAAAACTACTCTTATCGCTCTAACTAAACTGAAAATGCTTGTGGAAAGAGGAATTTAAAACACAAACCAGAGCAACATAAAGCTGCTATTTTACACTGGTATTCTCTAAGTGTGGTCACCCAGTCGAGCCAACCCATCCGTGACACAATCATAATATAGCTACAGCCTGGCTCTACCACATATAAAATAATAATTATAATGTCCTACAGACAGAATATCAGTCATAACAGAGACTATTAATTACTGCAGGACAGGATTATATTGCATGTGTGTGTGAGCAAGCACATGTGCACATTATGCCCTCCTTTGATTCCTCAGTCTGATAAGAATATAAGAAATATGAGAATTGGGGAAGTTCTGTGCCTAGAAGCACATGTACACTCTATTCTCCCACTTCAATAAATAATAGTCCAATAGAACAGCTATATGTGGCTGAACAACCAAACCAGGGTGAATGTTAATTTCTTGATAGAAAATTGCAATAATACTCATTGAAGTAATATGTACTAGAACAGACACCGAGAACAAAATCTATGCAGCAGTGCGGGTCGCATGGAAGTAGGCACAGGGCACAGACTCAGTAAGATTGAGCCCGCGGGCTCTAACGCGTGTTGCAAACAAAGTCTCGGCGTATCTTCTAGTCAGTAGTACATGTTACCTAAATAATAATACTGATTTTTAGTGCGGCCCTGGATACCAGGCTAATTGTTGTTTTTAAGGTTCTGGTTGTATTTGTCACTATATTTACTGTTACTTATATTCACTGCACCTTAGTCTAGCCCCGATCTATCGCATTTTATATCAGGCGTTACAACGTCCTGCTATAACAACAAATCACCGCAACTTCATTTAGCAATATTAAGAAATATTAAAAAACTTACAAAAATGTTCGTCAATGTCTTATACAAATTTTGGAGGTCAGTCTTCGTTAGTATAAACATTCGTACATTAACGCTTAAACAAATTCTACAAACTTCACCAAAGGCCATTCCTGTTTTTTATAGCTTTAAACTTTATTAAAATTTAAAAATAACTATTGAATATTGATTATTGATATTCTCTTTTTTATCCACAGATTACTGTATGTATATTGTATACCAGTCTATTTTAGCTTGCTACCACAAACTATATAGAAACACTTGCTTGCTACATATATATTTTTCTATGGTCTATTTTCATCATTGATGAAAAAAATTGTTGATCACAGTCACAGATTCACAGATTCTTTTTTTTTAATAACTGGCTTTACGGCTCTGGGATCTAGCCCTTCTGAGCCTGAAGTAACAATATACAGGGTGTTTTTGGAACGCTCCCGAAAACTAAGACAGGCGACAACACCAAGTATACCTTTGATCATGGATCACAAATAAATTCGATCCTGATGAAAAAAAAATCATCTTTTTACAAGGTTTTATTAGCTTTATTCACGCGCCATCATGTTAGTACAGCTAAATGAAACGATAATTTCATAAAAAATATCATGAAAATACTGAAACATAAAACCAGCAGTGGAATGACTGAATTGATATCACCTGACCTGAGCTAGATAAAGGTCAATGTACGCGCGAACACAAATTCGCGCGGCCCGCAACTAGCGGGCCTTCCAACAATACCTAATAATTTACAACACGTGTCTAAATACCTAACTTATCTACTTAACCTACTATTTTGCCACTGTGCTTATCTCCACGTAGCCACTTTAATCCGAATTTACAGGTTAAATAACCCAAATAACTGGTTCGATTCCCCGCTAATGAAGAAATACTTAAATGAAATGTAACCAAGGTTGGAGTCATGCGTTTTTATTCATCGTGTAGGTATGTTTATTATTCTCGTGTATTCAGTTATGTACCTATTCAGATTAGTCTAGTACTAAGTTATTTAAAAAAAAATAGTTATGAAACAGCTTACTGCTCTAAATCCTCCGTGGTCTTATGAGATGCGGCTCAAATTGTGCTCCATTCATTTCAAGGCAGACTTGGGTGCAGGCGGGGCATCATCGTGTGGTCTTCGACACAGTCCGTACGTAGTTTCTCGAAAGCATCCACGATCATTTGGCGCATTTCTTCAGCACTATCACATTCACGATTAAAAACCCTTTCTTTCACATACCCCACAAAAAGAAGTCTAACGGAGTCAGATCTGGTGAGCGAGGTGGGCAAGCGTGTGGTCCTAGTCTGCCGATCCAGCGATCATCAAATAGCTCATTGAGGCGCTCACGGACGAACCTCACGAAATGTGGAGGGGCACCATCATGTTGGAACTATGTGCGGCGATATTCAGCCAACGATAGGTCGTTTAAAATGTCAACCAACTGTTCATTTATAAAGTTTAGGTATCGCTGTCCGTTCAGTCGCTCTGGCAGAAACACTGGTCCCAGTATGCGATCCTTAAATAAACCTGTCCATACGTTAACCGACCATCGGGTTTGGTGCCCGGTTTGTCGAACAGCGTGCGGGTTAACCTCTGAATACACGTGTGTATTTCTTCGGTTCCACAGGCCGTTTCTGATAAATGTCGACTCATCCGTCCAGATAATGTGCTCAATGGAACCAGGCACACGTTGTTGCTGATATAATAACCAACGGCAGTATAATAACCACTATAAACGTACGCGTTAGGCATTATTAAAACAAAAAAGAATCCAAAAACGTAACAAAAACTTTAATATCAACACGTAATCACAAGTAAATTTATTAAACAAAACGATTGAACTGTCGCTCGCGCACGCGTGTACAAAATCAACACGAAACTGTCTCAAAAACTAAAACCAACGAACCCCGTCAAGGCTGAAAATTACTGCGTCACAATCGTGAGGCGACAGGGTTAGGCATTCTGCCGTCATAATAAAAAAGGAAGTAACTAACAAAAACGTAAAATGGAAATAAAAAATAAATTGATGAATTTTTCTTTCAGACCCCGTGTCTAAAGTATATTAAATGGTATCTATATTGAAATATATACGTAGAGACATGAAGATTTTAAGGACGAACTTATTTTTTTTTTTAATTTGTTTATTTATTTAAATAAAACGAATTTTCCTTTTCATCTTAGCTTAAAAAATACACCTGGCAACACAAAAACATCGAAGGAAAGACGCATATAACTATTTGCGTCTTTGCGTAATTAAAAAAAAAACTGCCATTCATTTAACAATTTTACATATTTTGGAAAGGTCATTTGAAGTTGAAAGGACGCTAATAGTAATTTACTACTTTTTTTTTTAATAAATATTAGAAAAGCATTGGTAGTGAGACACAAAAAATAATAATTTTAAAAAGTAATGATTTTAAAGGGGATATCATACAAGACTTACTACGATAATAATTAAAAATTAAAAATTTTGTACAACCGACTTTAATATAAATAATTAAGGATAACTCAAAAACTATTGGTCTGACCTCGATCAAATTTATATGGGACCACATGTGAAACACCAGCTCTTAACAATAAGATATAAGCTCTTAATAATAAGATATAGAATAATAAGACAAGACCAAGAATAATTGAAATTTAAGTAATCGATGCAAATATTGTTAAAGATGACGTAGCAACTGGTTAAATAAGTCTTTTCTTTTATGTTGAATTTGTATAAGTCTTTTCTACTAAAAAAAGTCATCTGTGATCAACAGTTACGTCTAAAATTCTTACAATAATTTCTAAAATATTGATATTTGTGAATATTAAAAAAATTTAGTAGATGCGCCTTCTTATCATGAATCGAATGGTATATTTAACTCATTTATTCATAAATTGTTAGATGCGCCCTTTTTTCTTACGACCGCGTGTTTCGTACCGAGCTAGATACAGGTCGATAGCGGAGGGGGTGTGGGTACAGTCGCGTTCTAAAGTACTACATGGTATTGGGCTATTGTTTTATAATATTATAGTAATTAATTGTTTTAATGTAGAATCATAATAGGTGTTTTACTAGCTACTTAGAACTTTGGAAGAGGTGGGAATTAAAAATGGATAATGTTTACATGAGCATTATTTGTTATTTCTATCGTAAAATATAAAGTAGTTTGTAACAAGAAAACTTTAGCTAAGGGTAACACGCCGTCCATTATGACGTCTTGGGTCACATGGAAGCCAGATGTTAATGGTGTGTTGGTGTTACTGGATGCTACTTGATCATCACTTTCATCTTCGCTTGAGCTTCCGTCATCAGGTCGATCACATGGTAATTTTTTCGGTATTCTTCCTCCACACTTTTAACTTTACTGCACAATTTTCCCCATTCACCTTCTCCTATCATATTTACCTTTTCGATCACTAGTTTAGTCATAAAACAATAGATATAAATAATTTTTCTTTCCTTCCTTTTTAAAACATCGTCGCGAGTCGCAAAGTAAGCTGTGTATGCGACTGTATTTTTGGAGCGAACAAAGCGCGGGAACCAATAGCATGCAGGCACACTAATACTGGCGGATTGTTCCCCCGTCGCGCGCCTTTCGTACCAATATGTGATAAATCGCTCAGTGCCCAAGTTCAAGGCCAGCGTTTGTTTTTCACCGTTCGCGCGTACATTAACCTCCATTAGTCAGGTGATATCAATTCAGTTTCCACTGCTGGTTTTATGTTTCAGTATTTTCATGATATTTTTTATGAAATTATCGTTTCATTTAGCTGTACTAACATGATGGCGCGTGAGTAAAGCTAATAAAACGTTGTTAAAAGATGATTTTTTTTTCATCAGGATCGACTTTATTTGTAACCCATGATCAAAGGTATACTTGGTGCTGTCGCCTGTCTTAGTTTTCGGGAGCGTTCCAAAAATACCCTGTATTATAATAATTATCCTTCATAGTAAAATGCTTCACAATATGTTGATGCGTCACATTGTCCAGCCCTTGGGAGATTTTGACGGCAACTTGAGCCAGCACCCAGCAGACAGCTGACAGTTAGCGATGGTATCTTAAGGCGCCTAAGCAGATGGACACCTTATCTTGAAAATCACATCACCATCAGAGACTTGTTTCACCGTTTCCACTAATATTTCACATGCGCAGACACTTAATAAACAAAATCGCACCACTTTTACATATCAAAGTCCACTTCAAACCATTATTTAAACAATAATACATGAGCAGCAAACCGCTGCCGGTCAAGTTCCCGCCAAAACTCGTTGTTCACAGAACACAATTACTCTTACAGAGTACTTTTTTAATTCTACCAAGGGAAGAACAAGAACGCCAACTTCATACAAAAAACTAAAACATGTGTTTATGCATAGCCTTAGAATATACTGGCGTATATGACCTGACAGCCCGAAATGTGTAACCAATTTTGATTGTCATTGTGAGCGTTAGCTAGTGATGTGCATTTTACTTACAAGGACTACCGAAAAATGATTGTTAAGGAAGCGCTAAAAAATTTAAAAGCATGGTCTAGTGTACGAAAATGAAAAATATCAAACATTTACTGAATTTTTACCTTGATAGTTCTAAAATAATTAAAAAATTTTCAAATAACATGTTCCCGGGAATAAGCTGCACCTATCTGCCTTTTGTTGTATTTTAATTTAAAATATACAAATTCCCAAAAATCTTTGAAGAGGTGACTCTACCGATAAACTTAAACAATTTTGAAAACTTTTCTGCCATGAACAGTTTCCCCGGATTTTTAACATAACGTTAATTAAATTATTAAACTAATATTTTAATAATTAAACTATAAATAGGTAGATACTTAATTAGGTAAAAATCTATTTATACTTTATAAAATGTTTTGCTGTTGAAATAAAAAACGGGGACACGGATTACATAATGGCTGCTTTATTTTTTATATAACTATTATTATAATAATTACAAAAAATTAATAATTAATCATTAAATACATTATAAAAACTAATTTTAACATTGAACTTAAATATGCATTTAAACTTAATAATTTAAGTAAGGAAACTTGTAGGAATCAGTTAGACTTGTTTAGCTCTGTTTAAAGGCCAATAAATTTATGTGGCTACTCTCTCTTTCCTTCATCTGTCCCTGAAAAATAACAAACTTTTAATAATTTTAGCTGCATGAATTTAAAAACATAAACATAATATCCTAATGTTTATTTAATTTACTATCTACTTTTAACAAA